CTCCTGGAAGATGGAGATGGACTTTCCATTGATGACAAGCTTCCCGTTCTCAGCCTTGACTGTGCCGTGGAATTTACCATGGGTGGAATCATACTGGAACATGTAGACCTGGGGGGGGGGGCAGGAGGGGGCAGTGAGGGGCTGCACTTCAGCCAGGCTCTGCAGAGCTCTGACACCTGCAGGGGCAGCACTCACCATGTAGTTGAGGTCAATGAAGGGATCATTGATGGCGACAATATCCACTTTGCCAGAGTTAAAAGCAGCCCTGGTGACCAGGCGCCCAATACGGCCAAATCTGAGAAAGGCAAGGGGCAAGAAGGAATGAGTGGGGGGGGGAAATCCTCCTGGGCATGGAAGCAGCCCAATTCCTCCTCTTTCAGGGGTTAGAGGATGGCACTTCCTGGCCACCAGGAAAAGTCCCAGGAGGTCTAATTTTATCCTGCGCAACCCCGCCAAGACAGCCTGGCTTTACAGCCTGCCCAAGAGGTGACTGGGTTCAAACACTTGCCCAACTCCCCAGCATCTCCAAGTCCTACCAGGAGAAACAGCAGTGCAGGGCATGGTCTGGCCCAGCTTCAGGATACACCCTCTGGGCAGCAGAGACTTGCACACTTAGCAACACCAAGCTCAAAAAGCACGAGTAAAGGTCAGAAATTAACTGGATGGGGAAAGCCCATCCCTTCCTCCACAATGGAAAGGGGAAAAAGGAGCACTTCCCACCCCCTAATCTCAGGGCTCTAGTGTGCTAAGCTACCTGTCCTCGCAAGCCCTCTTCTAAAAATCAGGAGCAAAAGCAACAGATGTGTGCGCGCGTGTGAGAGGTAAAAGAGAGAAGAAGCCCAGGCCCCCAGCTGCAGAAAGGTCAGGCAGCTATATTTAACCCCAGATTAGAGTGGAGTGGGGATCTGATTTCTGGAAGATGGTCTGGCGAGAAGGGCAGGATTCCCAAGGCTCACAGACACCTAATCCTCCCAGTGACCTTTATAGCCTTGGTCGTTAGGATTGGGTCAGCTCTAGGCATCGAAGGAAGAGCGCTTCTTCGAGGAGGACCAGTATGATGGAAGGGGCTGCCGCCACAGGAGCCATTTTGTGGTGGAAAATTTCTAACTACCCATGACTCAGCTCCCCCAGCACGGCACTAAGCTGCAGCTACCACACCTCTCCGCAGAAAGGAAAAAAAAAAAAGAAAAAGAGGAAAAAGACAGGACTCCCCTAAAGCCAGGTTTCTGATTCACCAGAGGCTCCTGTAGGAAGGGCAGCCCTGAGGGAAATCTGGTTGGCAGCCTAGCGGATGGCGTGTGCTCAGAGTTCTGAAGTCCAGCTCTTTCGAGAGCAAGGCTGCCGGAAGCCTTGCCTCACCTGGCTCACGGGACAGAGGCGACTCCACCCCGCCGAGGCAGGCCGAGGAGGCTTAGTCATAGGCGAGGAAGGAGGAACGGAGAAGAGCTACGGACCGTTTCCTAACGGTGGTTCCTTCACTTCCTTCCCCGTTGCAACATGGCGGCTGGGTTACCGCAAACGAGCGGTGCCGGCGGGCTGCGC